CCCACCCCAATTCCCAGCTCCATCTCCCCCACCACCGGGCCGTGCCAGCCCAGCTCCCCTCCGGCATCCCCCAGCCCGAGCCCTGGGAACGTTCCAGAGCCACCACGACCAACATCCAATGGCTACATCAACCTGGAGCCGGAGCCAGGTGAGCTGGGAATGTCAGCCCTTGGAAAAGGCTTGGGAATGACGCTGAGGACAATCCCCTTGTTCCTGGTGGGATTTGGTGCTGGGGGCCAGGTGGGGATGTGACCCTGGAGCTGCCCTCAGCTTCACCTCAAGGTGTCTCATCCCCTCCTGAGCCCGCTGCCTTCCCCAGCTGCTCCCCAGGGAGCTGCAGGATCCCATTCCCGCTCTTCTCCCCGCAGGATCAGGATCCAGGCTCTGCTCCTGCCTCGTGCCCGTGCTGGCAGCTGCTGTGGGGAGCGTTCTTCTGCTTGGGGGGCTGCTCTGAGCCCCCCTCAGCAGCACCCACCCTGCACACCCCTCCCTCCATCCCGGTGAAACCACGCCGGGAGCTCCCTGCTGGAGAGCAGAAACCTGGGAAAGGGAAGAGAATTCATCCACGTGTGATGCCAGCACAGGATTTGGTTATTTTTGAGGCTGGGCAGTGAAGGAGGACAGATTTTGCCAGCCCAGAGAAGCCCCACAGGTCCTTACTAGCAGTTTACTCCCTGTAGTACAACCAGCAGTGATGCTGAGTGCTCTGCCAAGGCAAGAACACCGGGCCCAGCTCTTCCAGGGATTTCCTGTCCAACTCATCCCACTGGGATCTGTTCAACAGTGGGAAAACTCAGGGATTTCAGTCACTGGTAGCCCAGCACCACAGCTGAGATCCCCAAAAATCATATTTAATTTTTTCCATGAGCTGCTTTTTGATCAAGGTTTGTTCAAACCACACACAGACTTTCATGGGATGATTAGCTGGAGATAATTTATCTTGATCACTGTGCTATACAATAAAACATCAATCAGCTGGTTTTTCCTGATCCAACCTGTTCTTTGAGGTGTCCAGTGCTTTGTGGGAAAGCTTCTCCAGCATAATTCCAAAATCTACGGTGAAGGCCAGACCTGCTCCCCCTCTATAAAGTTCAGACAATGAAGATATAGAAGATATAAAATATATAAATCCCTTCTTCCCTCCCAGACTCCCCTCCTGGAGGAAAGGGGGATGGCAGGAGCTGGATACAAGTTTCACTGAGGGATTTTTTTGACAGCTATTTCCAATGAGCAGGGAAAAAATATGGCAAACTTGTTCAAAGTCCATTTTCCCCCACATGAGGAAGCTGAGAACAGCCTCAGCTCCTAAAGGTTGAACAACCAGCCCCAAGGAACAGGAACAGGCAGATCCTGGGATTCTGAGCACTTAATCTGGGGGGATTCCTGCAGACAGGAAGGTGAGAGCAGCCTCAAGGAAGAGCAGACACTCATCAGTTTGCTTCTGGTATTTTTACTCAGTTCCAGGATTTATTTACAAGCAGATGGAAAACTTCACTCCCACCCTGAGGTCTTGGCAGTGTCACAAGGTCAGGCTCTGAGAAATGTCATTTTTAACCTGCAGAACTCACCCTTAAACCCAGCAGTAAGAGGTTCAGCGGTAGTTTGGGGCTGAGCTGGGCTTGAGCTGTCCCAAAGGCAAAGATCCTGCTCCAAAGAGTCTGGAATCTTCCCTTCAGACATAAACAGGTTTTTTTCCCAAGTGATTGAAAACCAAAAGTACCTAAAAGTGAGTCCTGGGCTGATGGCAGCTGCCTGGAGCTCTGGGCACTGCTCACGCCGGGTGTCAGAGCAGGCACAGCTGGTGCCCCTCGGTTCCTCCTGGAGGAGATGGTCACGACAAGAGGGACACGATGAGGAAACTCAGGAGCAGGGCAGGCAGGAGCTGGAATGCCATGGCCACCGTCCCCAGAGGGGCTGAGGATGATGCTGGAGGACAAAGAGGGGATCAGAGCAAAGAAATCAGCGAGTGAGAAAAACCTCTGGGGGTTCTCTTCGCCTGTCTAACCGTGGCAAACACCAGTTTGGGGCTGGAACTGGAGGATCTGCAAGTTTCCTTCAACCCAAACCACTCTGACCCTTCCCCCAAGCCCAAATCCAACAGCCCTGAGGAGGAAGTGCTGGCTCAGTCGGGATGTTCAGCAGGGATGCTCCCGGTGGGATTCCAGGAATGCTCCTCACCAAAATTTGCCCTGCAGAGCTTCAGGCTCCTCAGCAGAGCTGCCCCAGTTTTAATCCTCGCCACAACCTCATTAAAGCCCAGCCACCAGGAACCCAGAACTACCTGGGAATTTGGGGGTGACGATGTTGATGTAGCCCTCCTGCGTGCCCCCCGTGAGCCCCAGGTGGAGCTTGTCCAGCTCTGACTGTTTCTGCAGCAGGATCCAGTCCCGGACAGGAGCCCTGTTCTGCCACTGGGCCAGCTCAGGGAGGTTCACCCCCAGCAGCCCCTCCACCTCAGGGGGTGTCAGGCGCTGGGGAAAAAAAATTCAGAGCAGAGATTGGGGTGCTGTTGTTCCAAACCTCACATTAGAGATGGAAATGGGATGAGATCTACTCTTGTTTATGTAGAGAAAGAAGTTTTTGGTTTATTTTTGCATCTTCATTTATAGGGTAAGAAGATAAAGGGTAAAGACATCTTCATTTATATCTTAATTTTATAAAAGTATTGTGTTTATTTTTAATTGGCTAGTAATTAGTTGTTACTTTGGTTAGCACGCTGGAGGTGCTGCTAAATGGGGTTTTTATTATATTTTATTAGATTTATTTAATTAGATTTATTAGTTTGAATATTTTTCTTTAATGATTTAGGATAGTTTTTATAGGTGTGAGTAATGGTTACAATCTTAGTATTTTTTTTTCATGAGAATAAATTGGTTTTTATCGTTATAGGGTTCTATTTCTATATTTATTTATATTTCTATAGGAAAAGTTGGCAGGTTTCTTATGAGTATTTATTGAGCTAGATATTAGCTTAGCTTGATTTTATAAGGTTTTTGTTTTATAAGGTTTTTACCTATATGGAACAGGGTGGGAAGGTTGGGGTGGAAAGGACCCCTCTGGCCAGGGAAATGATGGGGTTTCCATGGGAAGGACAAAAATTCCCGAGTGGTTTCACTGGGACAGGCCTCCCTCAGGACCTGGTGGTTCCTCAAAGGCTCTTTCTGTTGTCCTCTGATGCCAAATCTCCTGCACTCAGCTGGGGGTCCCATCCCTACTGAAATCACTGGGATTTCTGCCCAAATCGGTGACATTGTCTTGTCTGGACATCTCTGGTCTCGTGGGCCACTGTGAGACCTGCCCTGAAAAAACTCTGCTGGCTTTGCATCCATCCAGGACTCCAAACCCTATTTTTTTAAAAGGAATTTCAGGCCCTTTCTTCACTTTCTACTGGTCTAACAGAAGAAATTTGGATTTGATGTGATTTAGGTTTGACAGGATTTGGATTTGACAGCATCACTCCTCGATTTCCATCAGGGGACAACACAACCAAACCCCAGCACTCAGCAATAAAACACAAGGAATGAAAAGATTCCATTCTCACCATCAGAGAATCTCTCCTCAGAGTCACAAAGGTGGTGATGTTCATGTTCACGTTGTTCTTGCTGAGAGCCTTGAGATCTGCAGCAGGAGCACCCCCTGACACCAAAGCAAGGAGAATATCAAAGGATGGCAGACCCCAAAGGAGCTGTGCTGGCTCTCTGCACAAAATAAGGATTTCTCCAAAATCCATTAGGCTGGGGCTGATAACACAGCTTCAAAAATCCAGCTGAGTCCAGATGCAAAATATCTGGTTCTCCTCCTTTTGTTATTGGGAGTTATTTTGTTGGGAATTAAAAATCTGTGGCGATGGCAGACAGTGGAAAGAAGGGTGAGAAGAATTTGGAAAAATTATTGGCTTAACAGGAAAAAAAAAATAAATTATTTTGTGATGTGGAAAAGAGCTGTGAGATAAATCCTGAGTTTGATTTTCCCTGTGATGGTCTGGAAACAGATCTGGGCAATTTAAAGCAGGCACAGAATCCTTCAACAATATTTGATGCTGTCTACAAATCAGAAAGACAAACTTTTAACAACTTGACTTTGAAAATTCCCAGATCTTAGATGGATTTTGATACCCATTCTAGTTTGTGGCTAAAAGAACTCTTTTCCCCACAGCATCCTGGTTTTTTCACATACCCAGGTAAGGTAAAATCAGCTCATAATAAGCAGGTAAATGGTGCTGGTCAGAGAAAGCCTCTTTGGCTTTCTGGTACAAGAGGTCCTTTGTCTCCTGTGAACAGGCTGAAGGATCCAGAGATGCCAGTCTGCAGAAAAATAAAGATTTAAAGAAAAAAAAAGCTTTTATTACCTTCAACCTGCTCAATTTTCTGTATTCTGAGTGTTTCTCTGGGATTCTCTGCATGGCACAGGTGATCCCCAATTCCCAGCTCTACAGAGAGAAGCTGAGAGGAAAAATTATGGCCCAGTTTCCTGCTGAGAATTTATCCTTCAACTGATGATGGCTCTGATGGTGCCCAATAAATTAATTATATTATATTATAATATAAATATATATAATATTGTAATATATTGTAAGATATGATATGATATGATATGATATGATATGATATGATATGATATTATATTATATTATATGATATTTTATATTCTTTTATATCTATTCTATTCTATTCTATTCTATTCTATTCTATTCTATTCTATTCTATATTACATTGTATTATATTACATTACATTACATTGTATTATATTATATTAATAAATTTGTGTGTTTGCCAAGCAGTAATTCATTAATTAATAAATTAATTTCATTCACCAGCCTCTCAGAGGAATTCAAACTGGAAATGCTTAAAAACCACGAGGACGTGGCACTCGAGGCCGTGGTTTAGTGGCGACCACGGTGCTGGGTGATGCCCTGAGAGGCCTTTTCCAGCCTCAACAACTCAGTAATCCTATGAAATTTAATTCCATGAACCCTTCTGCAGATGAAAGCGGGCACAGAGTCAGATTTGCAGCCTGCTGGGCTGAAATAAAGAGAGTTTGATTGCAAATCCGAGCCCTGCCTGGCAGGATGGGCACCAGCAGCTTTTAAACCCCGGCGCAGAGCGATTCCTAAATTCCCTTTCCCTGGGAGCAGGAAAAAAAGGAAAAAGATGGGAAAGGGCTTTTGGAAGGAACCAAGGACACCCCAAAATTTGAGACTCACTTGAGGCTGGCGGGGTCGATGGCCTCCAGCTCGGTGGCATTCAGCAGGCACACGTATCTGGTGCCGATGGCGCTCAGGGCCGTGGCGTTCAGGGCGTTACCCAGCTCCACGTAGCGTCTAATTGCTGCTGAGGCCTGGAAATCACATTGATTCATTCATTAATTCATTAATTAACCGTTTGGATTCACTGACTCGAATCAGAACACGTGGTTTCAGCCCCTGGGAGAAAGTTGTGCCACGATTACAAGAAT